TGTTTCTAAGATACAGTCCAGATGCACTGTAACATGAAAGTCGTACATCGAAGCTGTATTGAAACTGTCCACTCAGCCACTGGACTGAGCCATTCTGTAGTGCTGTTAGAAATCTCACTCCACATATGAAGTGTCGTCATAAGTGATCGTGTACTCTAGATGACCACACCACACCATTGTGTGTCAATAAAGTGTATCCCCTCCACCCGCTGTGCTCATCTCAGCTGCAAAGTTAACACTGCTGTTATTTAACCAGTTGCTGTGCGTTTGTTATAATGTCAAATATTTCGATTTGACATTCTGTTGCCTCGGCTCACCACACCACCGGCTGCCACAGAGCACTACGGTGTCCAAAACAAACAAGCCCAACAGCTAAAGAGTAGTCTGCAGAAGCCATCGTCTCTCTGCCCGGGCGGCAAGAATTCAGAGACTAAAATGTGTTCAAAAGAAAAGATTTTGTAGAACTGATATATAATAGCACAGGGGGATGGATGAACGGACTTTGGGTATCACTGGGTCGTGTTTGTGAGGGACTGACTGAAACAGACAAAAGAGAGCTGGAAAAGTAGTTTTGCAGAAAGCTGCCCCTGCAGCATAAATCACTGCTCTGTGTGTTGATACTGATAAACATCCACGGACGTGTTACTCAGCCGCTGCTATAATTTAAATATGGCAATAACAACACATATTTTCAGATGACATCTCCTGGATGACTTTCACTGTGGTGCAGTTGGTTGCTCACAGAAAGCTGGCCCTTCAGCGTGCATTTCTGATGTAGTACACTGCCCAGCAGAGAGTTTATGACTGTATCGACATCACACTCTCTATGATGAATGGATTTCTTCTCTGTTGTGCTGCGAGTTACTTCAGCGGGCTGAGATTTCTGTGCCAGCAGAACCAGCTCCATCCCAGCTGCTTCGGTACAGCTGGATTTACAGCCCATGTGTCCTTGTCCTTGGACACCAGTCCTCAGTGCTGCTGACGAGGTGACACAGTCTGTTAACAGTTTACATCTGTGACTTCAGTAAGCAGAAACTAAACAGCAGTGTTTTTGAAAGTCTCCGAGCTCGGCTGTGAGTGCTGAGCTGTGTGTTGTCTCCAGCGAAGCAGCCTTAAATCCCTCAGTTGTTCCACTGAGGCTCGGCCTGCCAACAGTCAGTACAGACGACTATTTTGTCACAAAAAAGACCTTACTAACAAAATAAGTTCAGTCATGCCAAATTATGGCAGCTTAGAGGCAGGACCAAAGCCTTAATTGGCTGCTCATTCCCTGTCCTGGCCTTCTGAAGCCTCTGCTGTTTGCTTTAGACTCAACTCCCTCCATCTCTGTTGCTGTTCTGCTGGCAGGCTCACGGCTTTTAAGATCTCAGTGAGGCGTATTTTTGGATGGCTGAAGAACGCTTGAAGGAGCCTCTTATCCCTCTCAGCACTGATGGCTGTGAAGCGTGAGCATCGGCTGATTTGATAAGACATGGCAACCTCTCTGTGGCTCATCTCTGCATGTTGTACTCAGAGAAAACAAACCCAGACTCAACCAAAGACAATGTTTTTGTTTTCACCATCTGCCTTCACGGTCACATGAAGTATAAGCATCCAGTGTCTTTCACACAAGCGTTAGTGTGCCATCAAGCGAAATTAGACCATTTAAAACAATTTACTTTAAGTCTAAATAGATGGCTGCATTACCTAGTGACAGGCAGACAGCTGATTTCAGACATATTGATTAATTAATTCTATTGTTTGATATGTTCTAAGGATTCCTGAAACAATGCATGAGGTTGTTCCTCTTAAAGGCAGACAAAGCCCAATTCATGGGTTGAAGGTGAAGGTGCAAACACTTGGCAACAGCGGAAAGCAAGAACTCCCTTTTAACAGGAAGTGGAAGAACCAGACTCGGGGAGAGGCTCCTCTGCCTCGACCAGTTGGGGCTAATGGGAGGAAGACAGGACAACAAAGAGACCGTGGAAGACAGCCAGAGACTAACAATAACTGATGATTGAATGCAGTGTGATGTGTGATCACATAGTGACTGAAAAAGCTGATTTAAGAAGAAAACCAGTAGCCCAGGCCTTTCACAGTATTACTACAGTTACCTGAGTATATACCTCAATCTGTAGATGATCAGATCAAAATTAAGAAATGAAGCATGACAGACACAGAAGTGGAAAAAAGAAATCAAAGTAAAACTATTGAGGTAAGTTAAAAATGGATTACACACATTAGTTTCCTCAGCATCACAGACTTCTATACAACCAGAGGACGGCCCCTCGGTGCCTGTTCAAACAAATGCAACTGTGTTTTTCAAACCAGGAAATCCGGTCAGTCTTTCATACTGTCAGTGTTCAAAACATAAATACAGGTCAATAAAAACAACCGGGGGACACGTTTTCTCAGTAAACATTAAGTTTAAACGTTAGTTGCAACACCAATAAATCCCAATATTTGTATGCAGCTAATCAGATTTGTGCACTTCTGCAAACTCATTAGCACGCGAGGACGT